CTTTAGGAACTTGGTAAATCTCTTACATGGGTTTTCGGCCGCTGAGAAAAAGCACAGTGTCGGTTATAATAGCAGGTATCAGGTGCAAAAATATCGTACAGACATCGTGCACGAATTTATGTTTGCTGGGGAAAAAAAAATAGTACCAGAGAAAATGTATGCTCGGTACCTGCGTGCCATACAGTTCATTTAATTTAGTGAATCTTCTCCAAGTAATGGGATTTTGACATATCGACACGTAATTGTAAATTAGCGCTCTCTCGGTTTCTGGAACATCCGGATTCGCGTTCTCGATGCTCAATAGAGTATTTCTAACAAAAATACGTACTATAAAGTTATATGTATCTTGTATGTACTATTTTGTTGTTTAGAGAAGAATATATTAATAAAAGTTATAGAATATATATATATATTCAAAAATACAAAAGATATTTTATATTTAATCAGATATTTAATCAATGTTATATATATTATATATATATATAAGGATATATATATATAATATATATAACATTGATTAAATATCTGACTAAATATGAAATATCTTTTGTATTTTTGAATTGTAAGCTTACTTTCTTTTGGCAGTGTCCCAACTCGCGGCGATAAAATGTGAAATGACATAATCTGCGGGCACTATATCTGCCGCATTTTCAAGGTCGATATGCAGTGTACGTAACAAACCTAGGGCACACCCCACGACTACACCCATAGCACCATAGACATTGTTGATCCAGCCTTCTACAGGCGACTCGGCCGTTGATGTTACAATCGATGGTCGTACGATACAGGTTGGAATTCCGACACTGTATTGTCGAACAGTATCTTCAGCGATCGCCTTTGTATATGCATATGAATTCGGCCATTTACCTATTAATCTGTATTTATATAAACAGATACAGTAGTGTCTCGCGTCAAGTGTAAGCGTATATGTATTACGTAATATAAGAGGCAAAAATTAAAAAATATATATAAATAAGAAATTTTTTAATAAAAAAAACATGCAAATTTTTTTATCGACAAATTATCTTTTTAATTAATTGCAGAATAGAAAAGTAAGAAATTAAAAATACTGCTTGTACAATTATAAAAATTACATCGCAATAAGTTAGTTAATTAATGTAATAAAATGCATGCTAGTGACCTGAATAATATTTGATTCTTTTAATTTTATTGAAAGGCACTTACGTTGGTGTAAATTTGTCTAATTTTTCATCGTCTAGAATATCGAGTAAGGTCAAAATCTTATCGGTTTTTATAGGTGGTGGATAATATCTTTCTTCAATGAAATTGTGCACACAATAAGCAAATGCAGTGGATACATAAACAAATACCTAAAAAATATTTTAAACTAACAATAAGTAAGTTGAATTTTTACAAATCTGAAAACTTGGTTAAAATAATCTTTCTTTTACATACCTTTAAATTCGGCATTTCTTTCGCGATAAGAAGAAGCTGCTTCGTTCCTCTTACGTTTATGTTCACCGCTATTCGAATCGCTTCGTTAAATCGTACAGTCGCTGCCAAATGGAAAATTACGTTTGTGTCTAAAAGACGTTCTCGACTTTCCTGCGACAATCCGAGATCCAACTTGCTTAAATCGGCTTCTATCATTATTATTTTGGTACTAAAGTTAGGCTGCTCTTTCTTCAGTCTGTCGTAAACCT